AGGGGGGGCTAGGTTTTGGAGTACGTCATTTCGCAAGGACATTGTTTTCTTCTTTATCTGCTTGCAGTCTTCATCAAACCAGAGTTGGTGCTTTCTGGCTTTTCGGGTGATGGGAGGCGCAGCTTCTAACATTGCGGAATAGAGGTGTGAAAGGGCTGAATCTAGGTCGTCATCACTGAGGCTGAGGTTTGCCAGGGGGACATGCGGGCTCTCCATAAGTTTCTTGGGTACAATCCTTCTTTTCTTCTTCGGTAGTCCTTGCTGTGTCTGGGTTGCTTCATAGCAGAGGTCAAATCTCCATTTAGCGATAACTAGTTGGTGTTTCCTTGCTAGGGAGGGCTGGACCGTCATTTCTCTCAAAATTTGTTTTCGTGGCCAGTTTGAGTAAGTCAAATCAATTACACTGCTGCCATTCGGACTTATATACGTTGGGCTGTTGCTGGGATCGGTTAGCAGCTCGAAGGAGGCTGCTCGCATGGTAGTTGTGAGGCTGTCACCTCGGCAGGAGGGTTGATCTACCCTGCAGTTAAAATCTCCTGCGACTATAATTGGTTTGTCTGGGTCACAACATCCTATGCTCGCGAAGATTTCTTCTCCGATGATGGCTACATCTGTGTTTGGTTGAAAATAGAAGCAGGCAAACGTCGCCAGGGAAGTAGACACTACAACAGAGCAGTCGGTTTTCACTTTGAGGATTGGGTCGAGATCCGGTTTTGCAGCTATGGTGATTCCCCCGACTGGTCTGCCTCGAGGGGGCTTTTCTGCAAGCAGGTGATAAGCATAGAATGAGGACAAGGTGGGGCACGTGTCTTCGGTGAGAAATGTCTCCGTTAACAAAACCACGTCATAAGTGTCAAAAAAGTTCAGCTCTGGGGTTAAGTTGGTGGCGCTTTTCAAACCTTCACAGTTCCAGAGTAGAGAGGTCACATTTTTGTATTTCCGGCCGGTCGAATTTGCAGTTCGTTGACGTGTTTTGGCTCCAGCTCGGTTTTTCCTTTTGCGCGAGCGATACTTGGGAGGGGCATGCTGATGATGCTGGTCTTGGAGTCTTCTCAATGTGAGGTGGAAATTAAAGGCTACTTGATGAGAACCAGCTGCTGCTAGAGTTCTTAGTTCGTCACCACTATACCTTAACAATGAATAGGACACTGCCGCACACAAGAAAAGCACGAAATTCAAGAGGAGAAAGACTGAGTGTCTTGTCGCCATGATCACGGGCGCCTTCGACCTCTTCGTCTCTCTAAAGGTATGTAGATGGAACTATCTATATACCCTGGTCCACCCATTTGAAGAATCTTTAGGAAATCAAGCAAGGCCCCCGCCTCTAAGTTTGGTCGATCGATATTTGAGTCTCGCTGAAGCCTGGAAATTGCTTCTTTTTTTCTGAAGAAGTGCCAGTGGAAGCACATGCCTGTCTTCACACGTCAAGTTTCCATTTCTCGCTAATCCGGCATGGATTTATGGGGAGGAGCAGAGGATTTTTCCTTGCCGCCTGAGATTAGATTCACAGGCTTTTGACGAGCGAATGGGTTCTTCGGTTCGATTCGGATTCAAATGCAGAGCTCACACTGGAATCTGAGTGTAGACGAAGAGTTCGATGGGCCGAGGAAGCCTACTGCCACGAACGTCATGGTCAAGTTAACGTTGCCTTTTCCAGTAAGTGTAGGCTATGACGCTGAGAGATCTTCATCGGTTCTGACAAGTCAGCGAATTTCTCGCCCTCGTGTCTCATTCTTTCACCTGACACTTTCGTTGCACGAGCAACGCTATGAGGCCCAATGGTGCAACGAGATGCTCCTATTTGACCGCCAAAAAGGAAAAAAAAAAGCCCATCTATCTCACTCTATAGAGCGAAGGGCGAAGGAGGTCGTTGGGTACAAGACTGCGTCGAATTTCATTCAGTAGGCGACTCTGGACACTAAAAAATTCCAGAAACGCGTGCCGTCAAGGCACCGTTGCTGAAACGTCGTTTCGCGAACAGCAAGACAAGGTCATGACGTCATCAGAGGGCTTCGCGTGGCGTCACCATACCTCAAAAAGACGATGCAGGCAAAGTTTAAACGAAGTCACTTTCTGGTTTCTCTGCGATTCCGATGAGGCTTCATCACAAAGCGCGTCATCAAGTTCTCCCCGCTTTTTCCCCTCGAAGTGGTTGAAGGCCTTTCGAGGTCTCGACGACTCGGCCATCGAAGTGGTTGAAGGACTTTCGAGGTCTCGACGACTCGGCTCGTCTAGTCAGAGTTGAAGGGAGAGGATCTCAGATTCCATCAAGAAGCACTGATGCCCGTATTCAGGCCGTTTCGACTAATTCACGACGGGTTCGAATACTTAAGAAAGGGTTGTCGAACTCGATTAGGGGCCATAATTAAAATCAAACACTTAATCTTTAATGCAAACAGGCTGAAATGTGCAGTAATTTTCCGTTACTGTTGAGGACTTCGCGGGACGGACAAAATGGATCGGCGGGCCGGATCCGGGTCGCGAATTCGGCCCGCGGGCCACCAGTTTGAGTCCCCTGCCTTAAGATACATCTTCGAATCGAATAATTAATGGCATTTTCTTACTCTTGGCTATGGAGTTGATAAAAAAAAGGGATAGAAATGATCCGAGAACCCATGCTCGAAATTCTTCGGAACGCTAAGCAAGACATCCCTGTCATCACTCTAAGTTAGGGCGATCAGACGTCCCGGTTTCAAAGTTGGTTTCCAGGTTGGTGCCCTGGTCTTTTTCCATTGCAGGGACGAACATTCTAGCATTTCCTTCAAAATGAAGGAAATGAAATGTTTTCCTGAAAAAAAAAGATCTGGTTCAAGTCCACCAAGTCGCCTAAACCTACGCGTATTGGAGACTACTGACGTATATTAAGAAAGGGGGAGCAGGGGAGGCTGTCCCCCCCCCCCCCTCCCCTCCTCTCCCCCTGACAGTCCATGAAATCGTCCCCTCAAAGGACTTTTTCCCACCCCTTAGAATCATTAATCTGAGGGAACGAAAGGAACGATATTATCTTTACATCTCTTGCAACACCCCATGCCATCCCCATGCCATCCCTCCTCCATCCCTTTTCCACAGAGAGAGTTGATCGTCCCCGGACCGGTCATTCATCTGAACAGGACACAGGGAAACGGGACGGGCGAGGAGCTTAACCTCCCCTTCACCCCTTCCACGAACTTCCCCACATCGGCACCATTCGACTGCCTTGGGTAACGTCCGCCTGCCCTCAGAGGTCTTTCGTAACAGTGGTTATGCGAAGGGGGGGGGGACAGGTTTCGGCTCGACACTCGAAGTCAAAGAAGCTATAAAAAAAAACTCTTCCGCGAACATGTTATGATGCAACTAACCCTCTTGAAAAAAAGAGATACTTTTTCATGTAAAACATAAAAACGAGAATTTCGAGATACCATCGCAGAAAACCGTGCGGAACTGATATCAGGCCCGTTATCGTCTCGACGACTCATTTCCTCCGCGTTCGCTTTCGGGAATTGTTGGTGGGAGGCATTCCATCGAGTTTGAATGAAGCCGGAAGAGTGACGTGAGGGAATTTGGGCTTTCCGCGTTTTTCAGCGAAGTCGTCTGAGGATTTCCACAAATACGTTTCGTGAGGATTAAGGATTAATGCACGAGGATTAAGGAACTTTGATGACTTGGAGGAATTTGGATCGCCGTGAAATAATTTATTATTATTAAAGAAACGATATGTCGTCGCGGGAGAAAAAGTCTCACGTTTCACCCGCCACCATGCAAGAGATTAATGATTCTTGATTCTCCTCCCTTTTTTTTTGTGCCAAGAGAGTCTTAAGATTAGTAAGAGAAAATAAGTTGCTTTTTTTTTCTGCCTCTTCCTGCAAGAGCCGAAGAAAACCGCTGAAATTTAATTCGTCTAAACCTCATCCTCGGAACTCATTTTCTCACGATTTTTAAGTTTTGCGTGATCGCGTGAGACGGAACATCTGTGCGTTCGATGGGATGCAGTGAGCCGCATGCACAGTGAGCCGCATGCACAGTGAGCCGCCAAGACGCTCAGACGCATGCCGCCGCTATCTCTCGTTTTATCGAATTCGCTTGCGTCAACATCTCATGTAGGTCAAGCGACCCCACGACGAGTGCCAGATCTCTCAAATTCGACACCGTTGTCGCAGTCGTGTCGCTGCACCTTTAGCTGTCGGATGTTTCGGTCGGAGATGTCAGAAGATGCGGCAGATCCGAGATGAGAAGTAAAGTCATTGCGAAGAAGGAATCGGTCGCGGGAAATTCTTTCATCGCAGCTGATTTAAGCGAAATCGCGAAACGTGATTTTCTCTTTCGTCGATATCGATTTATTGCTTAATTATTTCGAGAATTTAGTTTTAAATTAATTCTGCTTTCAGGAGACGAAATGGAATGCAGACAGCAGAAACGGTCCAGTACTTTCACGTACAAGGAAGTACCTGCGTCGCTCTTCGCATTCGTTTCCTGTCCGCCTGACATGTTTCCAGGTCTTTTCCACAGGCCATCAAGGGCAATCAAGGGCCATCAAGGACAGTTAATTCTTCGATCTTCGACAGAGGAATTCCCGATCCGTTTTATTCAATTACTCCCCTGCACGAAAATTGTTTCATTCACATCGCGCTGAGTGGCAATTAATATTTAATTTGTTTTCCCTTGACATCCGGTTATCTTTTCCCTTTTTTTTCTTTTCTTTTTTATCTCTTTTTCCTGGAACTGATAATATCTTTTCCTCGTGCGAAAGCATCCTCTGATGGGAATATCGCGTGGGCCGGATCGTTTCACGTCCGTCTCGTTTTGGTGTCGGTCGAAAGATTTCCTGCGAACATTTTCTTCTCGCGAATGTCGGATCTTCTCGAATGCCGGATTTTTTTTTTTTAATCCCGCCTTCGCGTCTCCACGAAGAAGAGTCTTGATTGCAGATTGGTTTAATCCTAAAAGCGGGAAGAAAAAAAGTGCCTTCGGATTCCTCTCGATGCGTTTGTCAAGGCCGTCTACTTCTCGAGACCGGAGCAGACTTCCACCTCACAATCGCAGATAAGAGCGCTCCGGACATTCGCGTCTCGCCGCCACCAGTTCGCCCGATGCCCATCCGCATCGCGAGTCCGTTCCGACGGACTGGAAGCGAGCTCCGAGGATTCCCGCCGTCTGCGCCCGTGAAGGAGAGGAGGAGGGCGAATGTCTCTCATTCCTTCGCGGGATTCTCGCGGGAGCGGAGCTCGCGTCGTGGGGCGGAAGGGGGGGGGGGGGGGGGGGGGGGGGGGGTAAAAAAAAAAATGGGGGGGGGGGGGGGGGGGGGGGGGGGAAAGGCGACTTAGCAACGAGAATGAATCGATGGGAATTAGTGCCGTGGGAGCGGAGCGGGATGGGAATGAAATGTAGCGGCTTCGGGAAGGTGCTGGAAAAGCGTGTTTGCTTTTTTTTTTTCTCATAGCGAATGAGTCGGTGACGCGGCAGCAACTTGAAAAATGACTTTTTTCCGACGATCCGATCTTGCCTTTCAGCCATCTTCCTTCGAGGAGCATCTCGAGTTTCTTTCTTCCTCCCTTTTTTTGCCATTGCTTGAAGTTTGACTTTGAAAATGCAGTTTCTGGCTGCAATTTCGTGATTACGCTCTGGGAATGGGAGCGGAATCTATGGGAATGGAATGAAATGGGAACAGCTAATACGTCACGGAATGGGAATGAAAGTGAAAGACAGCTCGGGACGGGAAGCGGTTCAAGGTGGAAAAGGAAAATTACTCAATCACCCCATTGGCACCCCATTGGCACTCCATCGACGTTCCTTTATCTTACCGCAAGAGGACTGAAAATCAGATCATGCGAAACACGATCCCAATCTCAAATCCCTGTCAAGCTGTTCTCTCTTTAGCAGAACGATTTTCGATATTTTATCGTCGCGGTAATTCTTTTCTTTCTTACAGAGCATCGTGAAATTTGAAGAAAAAAGAAACGACCTACAAGCGAAGATGATAGCGCCGACCGCTTAGAACCGCCGAATCGATTTGGACCAGCGAGCCATCGATCCCCCACGGATAATCCTCGGATTGTGCCTTTCTGCAATTCCTGCTCCACGATCCTCGTGGTTCAGCCGCAACAGGGAAGCTTCTCCAGGCACTCCGCTTATATTCATCGTATCTTCTCGCATAAACGATGCATTCCGGCAGAGCTTTACCGAGCCGCCAGTCTCGGAAACACGAGATCCAACTAAAAACAAATACCAAGAAGAGATATTCGGGCAAACGTATCATCTCATCGGTCGTCTCAGGGAATCGAAGTCCTCCGCCCCCGCACTTGGCGGGGGCAGAAATGGCAGGCCAAGCGTATTTATGACATCATCGATGAGGTCATCCCATTCTCTTTCCCCATCCCCAAACAACACGTGACTTCCATTCAAAACTGCTATGACGCGACTAGAGCTAAAAAAAAAAAGATGAAATGAAGACATCGCATAGGCATCATTTAGATTTATGTGTTGCTTGGGTCTAGTCTCACCGTTCGTCGGAGCAGATCCAGCGGTGAACACGCATCTCATAGCAGAAGAATCGAAATGCAGAGCAAGGAATAATCCCAAGGATTATTCCTTGTTTGGAATAATTCCTGGATTATTCCAAGGACCAGGAAGGATTGTGGACTATAGTCGACGCTCGATATAACGAACTCCAAAGGAAAGGCTAAAAAATTCGTTAAGGAAAATTCGTTATATTGACCGTCGACTGTATTTCCAGGAAGAATCGGGTAATCAGCCAAATGACAGATCGTGGAATGGACTTTGATTGGGATTGGATCGGAATTGAAATTCGTTGGGCAAAGAAGAATGGATGGAAAATGCGTTGTCGTCGGATCGCGGGGTCGCCTCTTTTCAATTCTTTTCTGCGCATAATTATGTTTGCTGAACGCATCTCGAATGAGATTCGAGCGATCCCCCGTCCAAACAATCCAGGTTCGTGCCTGCGAATCCATGTCATTTAAACACTAAAACATTAATGCAACGGGTCATGCGACACGCAGTTCCGAGCCCCGAACGACAACAACGCTGCAAAGCAGACAGCTAAGGGTGGATTTTTGAACAGAGCACTATCCGATAACGCTGCTTTATTTCTGGGAAACATCATGTACTTTCCCTGGAATAAAGCTCCGTTATCGGATAGTTCTCTGTTCAAAAATCCACCCTTAGACTCGCCCGAGAGCGAAACGGAGCGAATCGCCAGCATCCGCCTTTGCGATAGAGGCATTGACTGGATGAGACGAGTCGCTTCCATCCAGTCTTTCTTTTCTTCCATTCAGTCCTTCTTTTTCTCCATCCAGTCCTTTTTCTTCAGCCCGAGTGAGTTCGTGAATCGATAAATTGAAGGCCTTTGAAGGGTCTTTGGAGGCCCTTTGAAGAGCCTTTGTCGGAGTCGAGTTCGATGCAGAAAAAAAGAAAATGTGGATTGCTTCTGAGATATGGATGGGGATCGTTTAAGAAGCCTTCGTAGTACCATGCGAGTTCGTCTCTTTTTTTTCGATTCGCCCTATTTCGTGGAAGTTCTCTCGCGGAGATTGGCTGTCTGTGGAGATGATCGCACGCGCGAGTGACTCCAGAGGGATTCAAAGCATTCACAGATTTACGGGTTCACTCATGCGAGGGCATTCCCATGAGTCAACCGGTTTATTCGGACGGGCCTTCGGACGTCGTTGATGGGAACCAGACACGACAGCGAATAACAAATTTTTTTTTCGTTTCCGACTTCAAAGGCGTTCCTTCCGACGAGCAGAGCCGATTTATTTATTTTCTTCGTCGTTTCTTGCCCTTCTTGGACTTGGCAGTCGCGGGCCACGGAAATCCCCGGTTCAGCAGCAAATCTGGCACGTTGTGGCACGTGTAATACGCGTTCTCCATTGCGATCGGACCCAAAATATCTGCCTTCGCTTTCCCTAGGCAGACGAACCAGTCACAATTCAAGGTCAAGGTCAAGATTAAAGTATGCATACGTGGGAAACACATTTCGAGGCGTACCTTCCGCATGTCCTGCAAAAGAAAAATCATTCATGATTAGTAATATAATAATGGAATTTCAATGCAAGGTCAACTTAATTCATTTGACCTTTCTTAGAAGCAGTCGGTTTGGACTTGGTTTTCTTGGACTTCTTGTTGGAGGATCCGGCTGCATTTTTCTGCTGGACCTGTCGAGATCGAACTGAAGTCTTCGGTTTCTTCGGCTCTGATGATGGCGAAGGGCCCCCGTGCCCTTTCTTCCCTTTCTATATTCAAGGGATGAATAAATAATTTGAAGGCTTGTTCTGCAAAGGTTAGCAAGGTCAACTCAAATGTCAGGATGCAGTGTTCTGTTAGAGTTCACAATAAAGTCATGAGTCAACCATTTTCCCCATAAATCGAGATCAATTTGAATCTCTTCTTGGGATGAGAAAAATGGTTGAAAACAAAGTTGAGCCGAAAACTGTCTTCGCTAAATCCCATATTTTCATCAAATTCCTCGTCAAAACCTTTGTTCTTCCGAAGCAGCAGCACGATTCCGTTTACGACCGCAATCGCGAATAATTACAGTAATTAAAATAGATGAAGCTAATTTGAAACTTAGATGAAACCAATTAGGAAAGGGGAAAGGAGCCAAGGAGGCTGAGACTGTACTGACTGAGAAAGTACTGGATTGCAGACGATTTGAATGGGAAGATTTGAATGCCTTGTGGGAAGTGGGTAGTCTGTCAACAGACGAGAAAAGTGGAAAGTCTCGGTGTGCAGGCCTTGTCGTTCCCACGGAAACAAAAAGATCTGGCTGTTGACGTCTCCTTATCGCTCTATACTGATTTCCCATGTGTGCCGGAAAGGGGGGGGGGGGGCAAAGGGGGCAAGGGGAGAGGATTCGTGAAGGGAGAGCGGCATTCATCCCTTATTGAATGAAGGGCGCCTTTGACCTTGCCTCCTTTTCTCCGATATTTGGTGGAATTCAGCGCCCATTCCTCATCCCGTACAGCAGGGTTTCTTCCAAAAAATGGAAGGAATTTTACAATTTTACGAATTCGCTTGCTTGTTTTTCTTGACGAAAAAACAGTGGGCTACTTTCCCCGGCAATGAGTTTCTGTTTTTGGAGTGCAAGTTCGTTTGCGCTAATAAAAAAAGAAGCACACTTCGCATTACATCCGCATTGCTGTCGCTCACCGACATAATCTTTTATTATTCATAAGGCATTTTAAACATCATAAGGCTTTTGCTTAATTAGATCCAAAATTGACCGGAGGCTTCCTCGTGCAAACGAGCAGCACTCATCCGAATACGGTTCAACTGAGGTGCAACGAATCAAAGAATTCTTTTTAAATGCGAAACCACCTTCCGGGAAGGGCAAACTTAGTGCGATAAATTGTCCAACACTTAATCTTCAGAACAAAAGAAGAAACAATTTCTTTCCAGAATTCAGCATTTGAAATATTCGAAGAAGTGCTAGGAACAGGATCTTTCCGTGCCGACAACCAGCATGCTTTCCATCAGCTAGGCAAATCCCAGCTGGAAACACCCATTATTTTGAGCTGAACCACAACAGCAAATTCGGAAAAATACCAGATGGGGAACAGCTGGAAATGCAAGGTCCATGCAGGTTCCCAGATTGAATTTTCCAGTCGGAATGAAATTGGTTTTGTTAGTTATTCCTGCTGTGGTCCAACTATGGACATCTACAGTATGGATTGCAGCCAAAATTCAGTCCTATTCCATTTTGAGGATCCGCAGCGATTTTGAAACTTTCAGCTGGAAACAGCTTTCAAAACCAACTGCAATCCAGCTGGGGAGCAACTTCTGTCCAGCATTTTCAGCCACTTTTCAGCAGTTTGGATCCGAATTTCCCAGTGGGAGCCAGCTGGCAAATGCATTCGGGATTTTAAAGCGAGTTGTCTGAGTTGAAGCTAGGGATTTGAGGAAGTGCGCAAGCGAATATAATGGTGGTTCATGTCCGTGTCCATGTATAGATAGCTTCGTCCCTGAGATTATCGATATTCGATGCACCCGTTATACCATTATCTTCGATTCTCGACTGCCAATCGCACCCACCTCCCCCCTCTTCGGGGAGGTCTGAAGAGGGAGTTGCCCCCTCTGCCCCCTCTGCTCCCCACCCACCTCCACGACAGGCCTCCCTTGGATCCCCTTCTGGCAGTATCCTTTTTCAGGCAATTCTCGGGCAGAAATGAAGAAAGCGTGAGCAACGTTGCCATGATTTCCCCCCGAGAGAGACAGACAGGCACGAGCCAAATGCAAACTTTCATTCGCAAGAGCAGATGACTGAATTCCATTTCTTCCCCATTTCTTTCCCACTCCCTCATACAATCACAACTATCTTCAGAACGATTATAGGGCGCTTTCACTAAACGAGTCCTCAGCCGAATCGCTTTTCTCGGGGCACCGACCGGTTTTCCAAAGCAGCCCAGGTATTTTTCATTTCTGTCCGATCGATCCCCATTCCCTATGGATGCGGGGCCACTTCCCCTCTCCTTTTCCCCCTTAAGGGAAAAGGATCAGGGCAACAGGATGTTTCCATTTCCTTCTTCAAATCTCTCTCTTTCGCTCTGAAGCCATCGAGAATGGAATAAGACGAGATGAAATGGAAATTGTCACGTGGACATAAACGTCAAACGGAAAGGGAAAGGAAACCGTCCAGACAGGTCAGAAAAGTGGATTTCCAGTTTCCAGCTCTCACTTCGTCGTCCCATTCCAGTCCAATCCTTTGAGAGTGAGCATCGTCGCAGGAGGGCCCAAGATTTACATTTTAAAAGGTATTCTTTGATAATGGAACTCGGTGGGTACGAAGAGATTGAATTGATGAATCAACGTGAATATCAAAGGCATCTCTCTCTATTCATCGGATGCAGCAATTCCATTCACCACTACAGTTCCAATCCCGCGTTGCCATTCTTTCCCTCCGCAAATGTAAAATACACTAATCTAGATCAAGGAATTATGCTTCACAGATGAGACTGAGAGAAAAAGGAATCAGTGGGACTTACCACCGGCATGGCGCCCGGCTTGATCAATACGAAGCGTGTCCGGAGCGTGTCCGTATTCCAATCCAACTGGAGTGGAGCGTATTCGAATCCAATTGGAGCGTATTCGAATCCAACTGAGAGTCAAAGACGCTCGGGGAATTCGCGGAAGCGGAAGTGGAAGACGAGGAGGTCAAGAATGACGTCATGAAATGTGAATAAAACATCCGTGGCGAACTTGGGCATCGTTCAAGCCTTCCGACGCCAGCAGTCAAGTGACGCTTGTGAAACTTTTCGGATCACTTTCTTTGGGAGAAGATCTGATTTTGTGGTGTTCATTCGAGAAGAAAAATTAATCACCCTCGACGTTCTCACGAAGGTGACGACTTTTTAACGAGTTTTGTAACGAGAGCTTTCAGATTAGCGAATAGCGTCATCCATGACGCATGCCATCGATGCCTGCGTCATCGTATTGCGTTTGGCTTGGATACTAGGTTTCCTGGTTGTTCAAGGATTCGCAATCACAACTTGGCGCGGTTGAATAATTTTTTTCTTCTACCGATTCTTGAAGTACTCATGGTTAAAGCTTAACCTCTCGAGACATTCCCAGGAATGAATCACTTCAAGTAATTTGGAGAGGATCGAGACGTGAGCTGTCGGAACACCCCTGAAGTCGTGGAACCCATCCGATCGCACTCTCATCAACCTCTTCTCACTTCCAAAACTTTGCTTCACGACGGGCTAACATCTGCGCAGTGTTGCAAGAAGAGCAAAGTTCGAGAGGTCTCAAATTGGCTGGTATCATTCAATGACGACCTCTTTCTTCTTCCTTCTTCGACCTTCTCTTCTTCAAAGCCAGATTTCGCAACTTTGCCTCGACAAAAAGGCCTTATGTATACTTCGTCTTCCTTCGTGCCAGTTCATACTTTCCGGTGCAGTGCAGTGCAGTGCATTTCTGCTCCTGAAAATTTTTTCAACGGTGTGAAGTCGGAGGTTCAGCCAAAAATTATGCAGAGGAAAGGTGGAAAAGAATTCCTTTTAATAATAACCTTTTCCTGGAAGTGATGTAGACTATGTGGCCGATCGTGATCTGTCGGGTTGGAGCCCTTTTGAGTGCGAGGCTGTGTTCGGGCATTTCTTTTCTAAACTGAGCTCTATGATTCATCACGTGTCTGCGTAATTGTCAGACCGTGCTGCATCGCAGATATGTCGACCCATAATGCTCCGAAGTCACTTTCAGGAAAAGGCGAAGAACGGCGTATGGCATTCGAGAATGAGGATAAGGGAAGGGGAGGAGAATAGACTGAAAGGAGATCGATTGTCAGTAGGTAAAGGTATGGTCGGGAGATTGCTTTTGCAATATTGACTCAGAAGCCGTACAACACTGATTGCTGCGTGGCAATATCGAGTAAAAAATGCACGAGAATCGATCTTTCTTCTTTTGATGAAAGCTATATCGTGTATGAAATGAAAGGAAAACATGAGTTGGTCTGATTTTATTCTCATTCCAGGAATGATCACGGATAAAATCACGGAGACTCCAGGCAGCGACGCGCAGAATCCAGCGACAAAACATGCAGCCAACAATAACTACTGGACCCGAATGGTGTTGCTGCAGAGGGCGAGGATCCGATTGAAGGCGCGCCTGGGCCTCTCCGCCCCGCCCAGGGCGCCGGGCACCCCTTATATCTCCTCCCTGAATAGGATCCGAACGAGACATTGGGCATCCTTGCACGAGGCAGACATGGCCACTTCCACAGCCGAAAACGGCCACGCTGTGACTCTCTCCGAAAACGGTGTCGACTCCGAAAAACTTGAGGAATCCTTCCGGAATGTCAACTTGGTAAGTCTAGTCCGTGTCTCTCCCACATTTTCCTCCTCCAGTCTGGTTGGAAAAATAAAAAAAATTGATCGGAATCGTAGGCCTAATGCTTATCGTCATATGAACAGCCTAGTTAGGTTCGCTTTAAGACCATATATAATGCAGGGCAGAATCCATGTATTATGAGGTCAATAGTGACATGAGATGCTTTCTACCAGCTTTTGTTTTTAATCTGAGTTCTACAAATTTTTCGGGTGACTCCGGGTAGGATAATCCAGGAATTATGCATTACATGCACACAATTTATATTATGGATTGGGCGTTCGAGTCGATTAATAAACTCAAACTGAGAAAGAAAGAGTGTCTTCTTAGGAAACTAATCGATTCGGTGACTTCCAGATTAGGCCTAGGCCCAGAATATCTGAGTAGGCCTGTGCTTTAATGAGCACGCCTAATGAATAAATAGTTGATGAAGAGGTTCACAGTGATGGACCATCCGCATGCCGAGCCCAAATTGGCCAGACGTTAAGGCTCTTTATGGTGCTTCCAAAAATTGAGGTTATTCTAAATTATGGCCCAACATTTGCTGCAGACGGCTGCATGATTCCGAGGCAGCTCTACCGTGATTTCATAACTTGTCACACTTCGCTGTTTTTCTTCACACTCGAGTGTCGAGCATGAATTCCACAATAAGAAGCGGAAATCCATTCAGAAAAAGAAGTGATAACGAAAAATCGCGAAGGGATTCGGTAAACTCATTAAGAGAGCCAAACGAGCGTTGCGGAGGAGGAACATCATTAAAACCCAAGCATGTTATGTAATACACGGCCGAGAGTCAGAGGCCAGAGAAAGTACGCAACCCCATTTGCCCAATCGTCAAGATGTCGCTCGAAATAATTCTTGCGACGTCCGCACGTTTCAAAAACGTCAGAACGAAGAACGTTCTTCTGAAGAAGAACGGTCAGATTCATTTTAGTCGAACGGAACGCATTGCCAGGACGGAGAAGGCCCCTTAAGAGGTGTCAATGCCCCGTCGAAGAGGTAAAAAAACTTGGCAAGCCGAGATATTTCGTCCCCCGAAGGCTCACGCCGGGGAATTGAACCGGCCATAATCGTACTCCGTGACCCCGGTTTCATAGGAGATGAGCCTTCCTTTTAGCTGGAAAGGCCTTGCCTCGTGTCTGTCAAGCACGAGAGATGGGAGCTATCTCGTGGCTGGCTCATTCCCTTGGCTCATTTTCGTCGGCTCCACTTTCGCAGCCTTGCTGCCTTGGGAGGAGCGCCCAGTAATCTCGGGAAAGCCATCCATATGAAGTATTTGCGTAGTCTCGTGTAAAAAAAAAGTTACGAGGTGAAAGAATTGAGAAAGAAAAATAGTTGATTTCTTATGCAAATAGGCCAGGAAAACCAGGTTAAAACTTTTTATGAAGACTGATGAAGGTATATGAAGTTACCGCGTGAAATGGTTCAGACATACTGAGTAATGGTGGCAATGTAGGAAACATCATGAATGTAATCACGTTTCCATCCTGCGTGAGAAACTCGTAGCACTTCTGCGTTGCAGCATTTCTAACTGCCAAATCGATAATAAAAAAATTTATCCGAGGCCGTCGGCGTCGTAACGAGCGCGCTGCTTTTCCTTCCATGTGTTTTCTTCGTTTCACGTTTAATAGATGTCTATTGCGTAGTCGTGCCGGGTTGCGACACGTTAGTCAGAGGTGTCGCTTTTAAGTCGTGGAAGGAGAAATGGAGCAATAGAAAACAAGATAAACAAGATCCTTGCTTCGGATGGACCCGGATCCATCCATTTCGAGACGCCTTTATCAGAGCCTTTTTCTGTCTTAAACCTGTTCGTGCCCTGCCTCGTAGGAGGAAAAACGTGCCCGTTTCGATCCGGCATTCCCTGATTGGTTCCCGAGCAGAGAACAATCCCTTTGTAACGCGAGCCGAGTGGCTTCCATTTGATCGAATGACGTATCGTCCTCCCGGTAAAAGCACACAATAGGCAGCAAATATGAGCAGATGTATGCTGCATCGAACGTGTGAAAGGCTTTGTGTGGGATTCTGGCGTGAAGGCCATGACGAGAGAGGAATTCCGTGCCCTGTTCGGCATGAGGAAAATTGGAGGAAATCCGAGCGAATGGGGAAAGAACGGTTCCTCCCATCCCCCCACTTTCATTACCAGAGTCAGATATTCAATTAATCGAGGCGCCTTGCGTGTGAATGCTGGAATTGCGCCCGAACATAATGGAATCCCGACCAACTGCTTCAGATCGAAGAAGCCTCGGAACTCATTTGCATGATATTATTGCCAGCTCTAACTGACGATGCCTCGAAAATAGCCACAGCACCGGTTAGGAGACAGACGAATACTTACGATGTGTGGGAGAGGAGAGATTAGATCAAGAGGGGATGAGGGTGGATTTAGCGGTTGATGTCCCACCGAAAAGTCCACTCAACATTGTGTCATGCCTCATGCCCCCCACAAGTACGGGTCTTTCCAGGGGGTTATCTCCGCCGATAACTTCCCCATCCCCGAGATAGATCGTGTCGGCGAGAACACGGCTGTCGTTGAAAAACGCTGGACATCTGCCGGTGTGCACCCTTGCGTGCTGCGTGCGTCCGTGTGCCTTTAGTCGACTTGAGTTAATCGAGGCCGCCACGACGATGGATTTTCTGCACCCGGACGACGCGTATTTGATACTCGTAAGTCACCAGCATTTTCTCGTGCAGGCATCGACTCATTCGGTGCGAATAGAAAAACTCTTTAAATTCCTTGGAGAATGTTTGCTCGACGTATCATAATGGAACGGGAGAATTCCATCACTGTGATGATAGGGAGTTATTTACGGGGGAGATACGGAGATAGATGCTCCTTCCGAAACCAGTCCTTATCTTTGTGCGAAGCCCAGAAAAGAAAAGAAAATTATTTTTTAAATATTTGTTTCTCGTTCTTCTTGTTAATTGTATTTCCAATGCCGCATGAAAGTCAATATGAAGGAGCCGGAACCTCCGAGATGAACTTGAATTCATTCTTCTCTCCGCCGCTCATGTCGTGCTTCGTATCACGCTTTTACCTCGTAACGAAACGTGTTGTTTGGGCATTTCGTAATGGGCGCAAAGGAGAAGGCGCTGCGTGTTCGCGCGAAGGCCGCCGTTGTCGAGGTGGAATGGAAACTCTGGAGGTTCCGTCGAAGGTCCTGCACAGTGGTGAGCACTTTTTAAATCAACTAAGGGACAGGGGAGGAAGGTTAATCATGAGAAGTGTACGAAACTAGGTTGTAGGGTAACTAGGACAGTTCTGTAGCTTGCGTTGCTGTATGAGAATTCTCTCTCTCTCTGTCTCTCCTGCGAGAGAAGAGTCACGATCGCGCCCCGTGCTATCGAATTCTGTTAGTTGCTTCCGAAAAGCATTCGACCTGGTTTGGCCAATTCTGCGAATGCAGTGATCTGTGAGCTCTTGGCCCAGATTCTGCGTGACTCATTCACTGCAGCCAGAGTCAGGAGCTGCATGACTCCCTCGTAGCATGTAGGGAATCACGAACCCCATATATTTTTCAGCATGAATCTGCGTCAGAGCGCGACTAGAATAGAGTTTGGATGACAGTGACTTCTGTTCAGAGAAAGTAAAGTTTTCGCCTGGGCTCACCTCCGCTAGATGGCACCCCTTCGCCTGTCATCTGTCGACGTGCGATGCAGGCCTTGACTTCCATCGATAGAGGACAGAGAGCACGGGAGTCGATGAAGTCTCGGTTCCAAGTCTTGATGGTTCTTCGATGGAGCGCTGTCACATCCAGCCGACTCTGAAGGACTTTTGACTCTTTCCCCGTGATTCTCGCGGAGATCTGAAAGATGAACATCGTTGCCACAGATCATTCATGGATTGAATATCAGCTAATCAGCCCGAACGATCTTGGAAGTCTCTCCGGTATCTCTTAAAAGTTTCAATTTCGCCATCGCCACTGTTTGGGCTATAAGTTTTAAGGGTCATTTAATCGAAAGTACCAAAGTAACAGCTGGAAAGCGATAAAGGAAGAGAAAAGAGGACCAGGCAAGAGGCGAATGGTCGACTGAGCCTTGATTTCGCGTAGCACAGGACGCAAGAGAAGTACAAGGCTCTGAATCTGGTGCAAAGTGGGAAACACGAGCCAAACCGAGACGAGGAACGAGCTGGCACGGATAGATAAGAACGTACTGCCTGGAACTGGACTACCCGAAGAAAAAGCCAATGCGCATGGGACGAACTCTCAAGGGCGGAGTGCCCCACGATCCATCTCCGTCTCGATTTTTTGAAAGAGGAAGACATGATTGCCAGATATGGCTATTCTTAGCCTTTTTGGAGCATCTCTGAAGGTCCATGGTATGGAGCGTCAGAGATGCTCCAAACATACATTTTGGTATGATGATTGGAAAAAATTTCGGTCGTTTTTACCCCCAAACTTTTCGATTATTTTTGTAGCAGATGGCAACATTTTTTGGATCGAACTTTCGTTTTCCTCTTCCAATAAAGGACCAAAGTTTAACTCGTATGGAAAATTTTCTTTATGGAAAAATTGCATGACCCACGCAAGTTGTGTTTATAAAACGTTTGCTTCATAATTTTTCTTGGAGTATTGTGATGCATCGCATCACCTCTCGCACAGGGAATTTTTATATACGAATATCAGTGCCATATCCAAGGTCGCTGACCCATGTACGCATTTATTGCCCTATTTACTTCCCCCTTCTTCAAAGCGTTGTGGATCGCCCTTTAAAGAAGCGCTCCCATCGGATTATGGAAAGCAGATTGACATTGGCACTAGAGAAGAACCATTACTGCATGCAAGAGAGATGGGCCCGTAGAGGGAAAACCGCGGGGGGCCGGCATATTGAACGAGTGTCGTTCCCTGAATCTCAATCGTTTTGCAATCTACTCCCGCATCAGCGGCGAAACGAATTTAGCATAAGTGACATTAGGCACGAGAGAGTTTTGGCAGACACGAACGGATAAAATTAGACCTACATATTTAATGACTTCGACGGAGTGATTAAGTATGGTGGATTCCGTGCATCTCCGATTGGTATAAGACGTGCATGTTCCCGAGAATAGAACGGAACGCATGCGTCGGAAGGGGCTCCTGTGTGTCCTCTGGAGAGTGCGGAGGTCTCGACCCGGGTTCACAACGACGGGGAACCGAGCCTGGCCCGTCTTCCTTGCGAAAACTTTGTGCCAATATTGACTCCTAGGAGTCTTGGACTATCTGTACACTTCCTTCGAGAGACCGTGCACCAGTTCTGACCTCGGACAAATCGACACCTCTGTGATCCGTGTCAGCATTCGGTGCTTGAAAGAGCTCGAATGTCGAATACCACGTTGCACCTGTCGGTGCCGAGCTCCGAGACCCTTCTCTCGGGTCCCGAGTCGCCGACACTGGCCCGCGACCCCCGGTCGGCGGGGATGCCGCGGGCCCTGTCCGACGAGGACAGACGGACGGACCCGGTCCAGGTCCGACAGACTCGCAGTCGCAGGAAGGCGTACCGATTCGGGGCCGCGTCTCGTTCCATCGACTCACCTCGGGGACTCAGGACCGTCTCTCAGCAGAACAGCATCGAATACATCGT